TTCTTGTGTTACCATGGCAGCATAAGACCCACTGCTCCTTCCTGCGCCATCAGAGAATTTGAGAAGTCCAAGACAATATTAAAAGAGTCCATGCTGCAGTTCCTGCCAGTGTTGAACCCTGGATTGATGGTGTCATATAGATGAATGATGGCACAGGCTTCTCCTGCATGGTTTGGAGTGTCTCATGTTCTCTTGGCAGTATAGGAAGTGCGGGGGGGGGGAGGTAAAGAACACCTGGACTGTTAAGTCCAGTCAAAGGTGACTATGGGGTTGTGGCGCTCATCTCCATTTCAGGCCGAGGGAGCCGGCATTTGTCCACAGACAGCTTTCCGGGTCATGTGGCCAGTATGACTAAACTGCTTCTGGCTCCACGGAACACCGTGATGGAAGCCAGAGCGCACGAAAATACTGTTTACCTTCCCACCACAGCAGTACCTATTTATCTACTTGCACTGGTGTGCTTTCGAACTGCTAGGTTGGCAGGAGCTGGGACAGAGCAAAGGGAGCTCACTCCGTCACAGGGATTCGAACCGCTGACTTTCCGATCTGCAAGCCCAAGATCACAGCGCCATAGCACGCACCAAAACCACTGTGGCAACTTAAAATGTGCCATTCAAGATAACTCACCGGGGTCAAGAAGTGTTGCTCCCAAGTAAGATTTGATAGTAAACTGAGAAAGAGAGATGGTGGCTTTCTTGGCATAGGTCATTGGTTCAGCTGCTATCACTGTGAGGTGATCAAGCGGGGGAAGGGAGATCCAGATAATCTGTACTGGGAGGTAGCAGTGATGACACTAAGCACCTTATAAGCAAGCAGGCGGTCATCAGCTAGCACCCACTGCTGGTGTCAGCAAACCATGTTGGAAATTGCTAGCCCAGATGTGTGGAACCTGTGGCCCTCCAGATGTTGCTGGACCCATAACTCCCATCAGCCCCATCCATCTTGGCCAGTGCTCAGGGATGATGGGAGTTTTTGTTTGGCAACCGTGTGCTTGCATAATCCTGACCAGGATTTCCCGTCTCCTACTCTTAGTTCCCAACTGTTACTGGTAAGGACATCTATCTTCTCAAAACTGCCTCGCCAGATGTACTGTCTAGAATTGGGCATTTAACTACTTTAAAAAGACTGTTGGTTGGCTAAAAGAATTGATTGAAGCCTTAATATTATGCGAGCAAAGATATTAATCATCGGCATGTTTGATACTTAATGCTAATTACTAAAAAAAAGCTGTCGTTAGGCATCCTAAAGAAGCAATGGGTTTTATTTATTATGCCTTCCTTCAAGGCACTCCCGTTTTATTCTCAACAGCCCTGTGAGTTATCTTTAAGCTGAGTGCGTGTGGCCAGCCCAAGGTTGCTTAACAAACTTAATGGCTGAGTGACCATTTAAATCTTAGTCCAATCCCATAGGGATGCGGGTGGTGCTGTGGGTTAAACCACAGAGCCTAGGACTTGCTGATCAGAAGGTTGCGGTTCAAATCCCCGTGACAGGGTGAGCTCCCGTTGCTCAGTCCCTGCTCCTCCCCACCTAGCAGTTCGAAAGCACGTCAAAGTGTAAGTAGATAAATAGGTACCACTCCGGCGGAAAGGTAAACGGCGTTTCCGTGCGCTGCTCTGGTTTGCCAGAAGCGGCTTAGTCATGCTGGCCACATGACCCGGAAGCTGTACGCTGGCTCCCCGGCCAATAAAGCAAGATGAGCGCCACAACCCCAGAGTCGGCCACGACTGGACCTAATGGTCAGGGGTCCTTTTACCAATCCCATAAGGCAAAGCAACCTCTTCAACTGATGACTTGCTGTGTTCCTTTTTGGAACTCTCTTCCTATTTGGAGATGTCTGCAGGTGTTGGCGAGAGAAGCCTTGTGAGTTCTCTGGGGCTATAGAGGCAAGCTGTCCTCGCTCTTGCTCTTACTAACAAGTGACTCCATAATGAAATGACTTGAGCAATCATCTCTGTGGAAAGTGGGCCTGTTCTGCTCATGCTGCAGAACACTTGAGTTCTTACAAGAAGTGTCCCATCCATGCACGTAACAGTATATGATCAGCTTAGTTTTCATTATGTGCCCTGGACCTTTTCCTGGGCCAGTCTGTGTAGTGACACATCTCTTAGGCCAGTTTAGATGCCCATATCGGTGCATTCGGTGCATGTTGTCAAAGCCAAGCTGCCCACACACTCTACTGTAACTTAAGCCTTAGTGTCTATAACTGAAATGATACACATTCTTCCCCTGTTTACCTCTGCCTGGTGGTGCAGCTAGTCTAGTCTTGAGGTCAAAATCCAGGCTGTCATAGCCGGTGGTGGGGAGCAGGTGACCATCCAGACCAGGGTTTGAAATTAGCCAGGCACATTTTGCACCTAAAGATTCTCCGTTTGCAAGCACCTCAAAAAGTCTGGGCGCCATTTTCTGCGTGACACTCAAGGATTACTATAATGATGTGCTTTGAAGCCTGGAAGTGTATGTTAAGGATAGACAATATGTTAAGGAGTTTAACAGTAAAGAGTGTTTTGAAAACTGAAGTACGGTACTAATATTTTTATTGTAAATGCCAAATTAAGCATGTCTTAACAATTTTTGCTAAAAATGTGATACAGTGGTCACTTATGTGAATTGCATATTAGTTCATGCTTATCGAAATAATAAATAAAAAGTGTTGCCAGCACCCCACCCCAGGTCCCAGAAGCCATTTGGCTCTTAGATTTTCTATCCCAGTTTCTAACACTGATCCTAGAGAGTCGGAGAAGATGGGGACAGTGGCAAAGGGGTCCTACATTGGTACGTGGGTTGCATGTCAGCGCTCAGTGGGACTGATGTCAATTGTGGGTAGCACCCTTCTTATTTTTAGGAAGGTTTTTTAACCTGGGGTGGTTTGGCATGCCCATGTTTACAGATTCTCATACATCTTATCACATATATTAAACTTTTCTGCAGCAAAATGGTATTTGTTCGTAGTGTGTCTAGCATCAGGGCAGCAGAATCAAACTCTCTGATTCCTATTAGAATGTGAAACTGCATTTGCTCATAATATTTCTTTTCTTTTTATCAGGGTTGGCAAACTGTTTTGGGTTTGTTTGTTTTTCTGTAATGTATCAGGAATGTAGAAGCAATTAATAAGGCATAGAGTAACATGGGGAGAGATTTTGTGTTCTTTGGAGCGGAATTCGTACAAAAGTAATACTGTTAAGGCTGGGGTCAAAATTGCTTGGTTGCACCACCTGCCTCTACTTCCTCTGTGGTCTCCCTGTGTCAGATTATAGATAGTATGCTAAGTCATCTGGTTAGGGACTTTTGTACAGTGGTGCCCCGCAAGACGAATGCCGTGCAAGACGGAAAACCCGCTAGATGAAAGGGTTTTCCGTTTTGGAGGTGCTTCGCAAAACGAATTTCCTATGGGCTTGCTTCGCAAGACGAAAATGTCTTGCGAGTTCCTGCAGGGTTCCCCCCCCTTTTTCCCAAGCCGCTAAGCCGCTTATCAGCTGATCCGCTAAGCCGCTAAACAGCTGATCGCTAAGCCGCTTAACAGCTGATCCGCTAATCCGCTTATCAGCTGATCTGCTAAGCCCGCTAATAGCGCTAATCCGCTAAGCCGCTAATGGGCTTGCTTCGCAAGACGAAAAAACCGCAAGACGAAGAGACTCGCGGAACAGATTCTTTTCGTCTTGCGAGGCACCACTGTATCTGTAAAGCACTATGCACACTGATGGAAACATATATGTATATATAGAGAGAGAGGGTAAGCTGCCATTTCCTACACAATAGACTTGGAACATCTGATAATATTTGGCTGTGGCTCAATAATACGTGGCTTAATTGGTGATATTTGACATATCAAATTGATCAGCAACACATATTTTGCCATCCTGCTTGCAGATTTTCTTCCTAAACCCCTTTAAGTCTACAGAGGAATACACTGATCCCCAAAGGTATTGTGGCAGTATGTAGTTGTTAAATCCTGAGAACGCTTGGCATCCTTTTGTAAAAGTAACTTGCTCATACTCATGGTTGCTGTACTTATTTAAGACACATGGATGTTTCAAACACTAATCTTATTTCAATCTCATCGGATTATTAGCATTCTGTTTGCCATAGGCTCTTTCTTTCCTGCTTCCTTTCTGTTTCCTACCTTCCTGTCCACCTTTGCTGGTAGTGATATATAAAATAGTAGAGAGATGGATGCTCTTACGAGTGTGGGAGGATGTGGCTGAACAGGAACTGTCTGCTTTTGCCAAGTGTCTGTATTCAAAGCCAGTGGTAGTTCAATAGTTGTCATTGCCACATTTATATTTCTTGGTTAACTCTGTAATTAAACGTCATCATTCTAGACCTGCTTTTCTCAACCTTGGATCCCCATATGCTGTTGGACTACAGTTCCTATCATCCCTAGCTAGCAGGACCAGTGGTCAGGGATGATGGGAGTTGCAGTTCAACAACATATGGGGACCCAAGGTTAAGAAAGGCTGGTCTAGACTCTAGAACTGTGCCTTAGAATTAGGCTTTTAATCTGCTTTGGGACGTATTTACATTGTTTGAAAACTAATGATCATGGAGAATAAGAATGTGCCACCCATTGTTAATTGGATTGTTTCTAATGTCTGTTTTTGTGGTTTAATAAATATGCAGTACGCATATAATCTAAGTACTCACTTGGCAGTTTAAATATCAAAATGTCTGCGCCCAGTTAGATTACTTAAATCCCATTGACTTGAGTGAGATTTAAGCAGTTTAACTATGAGCAGATTTGGAGCCCTAGTCTAATTAAAAAATGTTGCTGGACCTGCTCCATGCTCTTAATGTGTCTAATCCCAAACATACTTCAACCACTACATAAAAATGATCTTGGAATTGTTAAATACTGGGGTTATGTGGCTTCCAGTGTAACTCTATGCATTGGCGTATTACAGCAAAACTGCTATCCGATTTTTTTAATCTCTATAAAATTAAGAAAAAAGAGAATACAGTACATATTAGCATCTGATTGTAATTTTTCTGTTTTTATTTTTAAGACAAGCAAAAATCAAATTAAAGTAGATCTTGTAGATGAAAATTTTACAGAACTAAGAGGAGAAATAGCAGGACCTCCGGACACACCATATGAAGGCAAGTAATATTTTTTGTATAAGCCATAGTACATTTACACGTCTTATCACTTGAAGCTAAAGTTTATAAGAAATTGTATTGTGGCCCATCTTGAAGCCTGTTATTGAACTACATTTTTTTTTTAATGCAGTCACATAAGATAAATAAAGATTGCTTCTTTGTTTGTAGCATATATCTGTTCAAGCTAGTTTGTATATTTTAGAAAACTTTGGGCTGCACTTTTGCAGGAGTTGGTAATGACCTGTGTGTTTGATTTGATAGAAATGCATGAATATTTTTAGCTGAACATAATTTATTGTAAAGACATCTTGGAAGTAGTAGTGCAATCGGGGCAACATTGGGGTGGGGGCTAAGAGTTCCATATTAATGATACAGTGACCTGCTTTCATAAACATTTGACACTGAATAATGCCCAGTAAGAGGAAGTAGAGTGTGCAAGCATTTTTAAGGACCAGGTTTTCAGGCCTTAAGTTAAAATTCAGCTGCTTGACAGGTCTTTCAGCTCACTTCCTCCCACCCCCTTCTCTTGTCTCTCTTGACAGAGAGTAGTAAATTAATTCCAAGCAATTGGTGGGTATCTATTGACAATGTAAAAAGTTGAAGTGTACTCTCGGAACCTGTCTCTCTTGCTTATGTTAGCTACATAAAGTGGCATGTGATAGGTTAAGAATGAAACAAATAATTACAATCTGTGACTTTTGAAAAATATGGAGACCACCAAATATTTAGTATTGTGAGTTAGTGTATACCAGGGGTTGTCAACCAGGTCCATAACCATCCACTAGTGGGCATTTCATGATTCTAGGAGGGTGGTAGGGGGTTCTACGGCACAATCTGAATCCTCCTTCCATCGAGCACTGGTGGGTGGTAAGGAAATTTTACCATCAAGAAAGATGCATTAGTGGGCGGTAGGTATAAAAAGGTTAACTACCACTGGTATAGACTGTTACCTTTCAGGGGTGCTTCTACTTGTTAAAAACAAATGCACAAGTTTCCTCCTTCACTGAGATGAGCTTTCAGTAAGCAGTGAATCGCTAAAGAACATTTGTGCATAGGATGGATATATAAAGAGGCAAGATACATGTGCATATGTCTAAGGCAGTACACATGATGTGTACCACCTTAGACACATGATGCTGATGACAGGCATCTGTCCGTGAATCAAGGAGGGAAGAAATCCCACCCCTCCCCAAATCTGCATCAGGGTGCTGTGGACCCTCCAGAGCAGTTTGGAGGGCTGTAAGGATATGAGAAATTGCCCAAAAATGCTTGCTTCTCCGTTCTGCAGATGTATGTCTGCCATCATTGGGGGTGGGGGAGATGCCATTCATTATTTCTTGTAATACAATTGTTTTAAAAAGCCAATTTCATCACCCATGCTTTGAAGTTGGCTAGTTTTTGAAACTGAGTTTAGTTAATGTTAAGCCATGATCCTTGGTTTGGCCAAAATGAGAATGTGTGGTGTGGCTTACTAAATAAAGAGCAGAATCTTCCGACATCATCCTTCTGGCCATATGAGAGGGAGAACATGCAAGCTCAGGTTCACTGTGGTTTATGCACGTCACAATAAACCATAGTTTATCATGGAATCCAAATGTGGCTGCCATCTCTCCCAGAAGAAGAGTGCTTACATTACAAATCCCAGGACCCTCGAGTTATGTGGGAAAGTGCTTATTCCAATATGTCACAGAAGGAGAGACCTTTTGTATACTGTGTGTTGAAACTGAGATTCTCCACTCCCATGTTTATTTTAGAGAGGCTTCTGGGAATCTTACACTGCTAACTCAAAATCTTTGATTTCCAAACTGCATGTATTAATAAGTTTTTCTCTCTCTTCATTCTTGCCTTCTAGTATAGTTATAGGACACCATCCAGTCTTCTAGTCTTGTTTTACACCACAAATGCAGCTCCTTCAGTCTAGAGTTTGTTCTGCCTTTTCAGTTTGAATCTGCCCTACTTAAACATAGGAATCCAAAATTGGGCACAGTGTTCTTGTCAGTGCGATGTATAACATGGGTACATCATTTCTTCCACTTGAACTACTGTGCTTACTACCTTTTAAGCAAATGCGTGTTTGCTGCTTTTGCAGTTACATTACTTTGCCGCGTGGTCCTCTTGCCACTGACAAAGATTTCTCAATCTTTTTTAATGTCTGATGAGTTCTCATTCAATAGCAAAAATGTTTGTTAACAGCTCCCAAATGCATGACCTTACACTTCTTAACTTTCCGTTCATTTTGCATAACTTGTGCAGGTACGAATTGGGTGTCATCAAATAATTTTATCAGTGTTCCTACTTTCCTTCCTAGAGCTGCTAGTGAAATCACTGAGCAGAAGGCATCCCAAGACTCATTTTAAGGAGGGGAGGGAGTTTCCTTCAACTTAAAAGTTTGCCTTTTGCCTTAACAATTTGCCTTTGCCTGTCTTAGTCGATATTGGTGTTGTTTTTTTTCCCCATTCCATGTTACAAAATGGCCACACTAGACACTTTAGTTAATATTCATAACAACTGGAACGGCTGGCAAAATTCCCCCAAGGTGAGCTTTTTAATGTCCCTGAATTCTTTGCTGGCACTTTCATAATCTGAGTCGGAGACTTCTTGGCTTCTCTCTCTCTGTCTGGGTATCCCAGAGGCATTGCCACTGTCTCTGACTGCTGTTAGCAACTATATGCTGGTAGGCTAGAGAGGATAGTCTCTTCCCTTCCCCTTCCCCTTTCTCCTCCCTCCTCCTCTTCTCTTTCTGGAGTGTGGAAAACTGGCACATATGCCTGGAGCCCATAGGAATTGCAGCTTTCCTAAGGGTGCTTACAGTTTGCACCCCCCTTTCACTTTTCTCCCTGTGCATTGCTGCTGCTGCTACAACCAACTCTGCGTGCCAGAGAAGGGGAGATGTTGTGCTGGGAGAGTAGCTGGCAGTGAGGGCTTCTGGGGACAGGGAGTGCAGCCAGGTATAGGTGGAGGGTTTGTTTTTTTAATCTCAGATTCTCAGGAAAAAAATATCCGCCCCCTACCTTTCTTTCCCAGAAGAACTTAAATTCTTTCCAGGTTAATCCAAAGCAGATTTGAGAGACCATGCCCATCTCTAGTATCTTCTCTTTCCAAAAGGCCAGTTATTTTGAATAAGAAAATGTGTATGGGAATCATGGGTTGTTTGAGTTTTGCTATGTTGCTGTTTAGGCGTATGGTCTCACAAGGGCTGCTACTTCATTGAAATGAGTGACGCATGCCATGTGCTTGATCAACAAGAAAATAGGGGAACTGACAGGATTTATTACCGTCTCTAAAGCTGTATCTGATTGTGCTTCACAAAGAATAAAGAGGAAAATTCCCCACCCCAGGAGTTTAAAAAGCATGTTATTGTTATTTATTGTTTGTAGTGTGAAGTTCTATCATGTCATTGTTATTGATTGTTCGTAAGCTGCTTTGGGGTTTGTTTGAATGAAAAGCAGCTTGGTTAATAAAGCAAATCAATTAAATAAAAAATAGTGAGTTGGAATAAATGTGGAAGAGTTTTGGTACAATCGCTGTTGAAAAAGACCTGTTACACATAGGAATGTAAAAGCTACAAGTCATTTTATTAGGATTGCTTCTGTCTGAAAGTAAATGAGCTGTTAACTTACTTTTCTAAGACCAAAAGTTAAAATGCCATTTGATTCCCTTATTCAGTCTTTTGGTAAAATACTGCTGGCAAAGTGTATAATATTTGTGTGTTGGCTTTTGCAGGAGGAAGATATCAACTAGAAATAAAAATTCCAGAAACGTATCCATTTAATCCCCCAAAGGTACAGTGAGCATAAATTCTCGTGAATAATTCTCTAGAATGTTTCTGTGCAGTAGGTGTTTTGTTATGCAGTGCTGTTACCCCCCAGATCTTTCTGGATCGACACAGAAACAACAGTCATTCACCCCTCATCATTTTATGTCAATAGTCCCTGGTCACAAAATATTACACAGCTGGCAAAGCACTGATGGAACTTTTTAAAACAAAACTGCCTTCAACATAACCTTGATGTGAACAGCTTTGTTCACCCCCACCCTATTGCTCTCTGCTTGAAAACCAATGTGAAGGCAGTAACGGTTAGATCTAGGTTGAATTGTATATATAATGTTTATTAATATATATGTTTTAGTATAATAGAAATATTACACATATTTTTTAAGCTTCAGGGTGTCACAAGACTCTTTGGTTTTGCTACAACAGACAAACACAGTTACCCTTTTGAAAATTGCTATAAGGATGCATCTTCATTCCTTGTGTTTATCAACTTACTTGGTAGCCATAGATAACCAGAAATTCCACGCAGGCAGGTAACAAAGGGATGAATTTCTCTGTCATCTGTCTGCTTTTTTATAAGGTCATTTTATAAACTATTCTGCTAAGAGGTATCACATCAGATTGCTGTAGGGGCTCACCCAAGAAAATGCTCTCCGTGCCAGAAGGAACACTGCATTTCAATAAGTACAAAACTATCATATTTAGGTGGTTTTTATCTCAGAAATCTTGATCACCAATATTATGGAGGAATTATTTTTTCAAGTGGCAAATCATCCAGTCATGTGAGCCCCCACCTGCATTCTGCTGTGGTGTAGCTCAGGTTTACATTTATCATCATATATTGCCATTTGTGAAAACAGTTGGAGGTTTGCCCATTAAAATATGTAGAGGTTGTCTTGAATACTTAGCAGCTAATTTAATAGAATTTTTTGTTTTATATTCTAGGTGCGGTTTATCACAAAAATATGGCATCCTAATATTAGCTCAGTCACTGGGGCTATTTGCTTGGATATCCTAAAAGATCAATGGTAATGTTGTGCATTAAGTTCTTGAAGATCCTCCGGATAATTAGACAATTGTCTATTTAGAAATGTAGTAAATTATTGTTTGTTGAGTGAAGTTATTGACAGTGGATTATTGATTTAATGACTATACCACTGTTCATCTGAAGATCACAAGGCAGTTGGATGGATGGAACACAATGGATGGAAAGATCATTTTCATTCTCTACTTATATTTTTCATAGGAATTAGAAACATAATGTGCATTAACTGTTTCCTAATTTATATTGCTTTACTTTAAACTTAGTAATGCTATACTATGGTTTGACAGTTTAGAATGCCCCCCTACACCTTTTTTACTGCACCTCTTGGTTTTTGTTAACCATAGTTTGCTGTGACATCTGATTTGACACACTATGGCTTACATCCAAACCATGGTTTCTGGTCTGTCATTGTTTGATGGTTAGCAAACTATGGTTAGCAAAAAGAAGGAAGTGAATGAGGGAAGCATGAAAGGGGTGCAAATGTGTGACTGCTCCCCTTCATTACACCACTGAGCTGTTTTCACTTAGGAATTTAGAAAACTGGATGACTCTTCCGATTAGGAGTGCTCTGTACAGCAGTGTTAGCCATAGGTAATCGCAGAGTTTTTACTGCTTTTTAGACTTTTCTGTTTCTTACTAAGAACAGCAAATGGAGGCTAGATCCCCCATGTGATCTTCAGCTCTGTTCTGGAGGGTCCCCCAACTCTCTGGAGTCAACACTCAGGGCACAGTGGGGACCGCAGGGAGGAATTGGTAAAAATTGCCTCCCCTCTTCTGTTGGTTGAGACATAGGGGTCTCCAAAGTGTTTTTACACAGTTTGGTTGGAAGCATTAATGGACAGATAAAATAGCTGTAGATTTAGGATTTGCTCTCCTTGAGGCATTAGACCTGTGCCTGAAATATATCACTTCAGACTGAATATGGGGCTCATGTGGTTGAAAATTAGGTATCAGGGAGGATTCTACCCAAGTTGTTGTTGTTTTTTTAATGTGGGGAATGTGTTGTCTGTCTCTCATGCACACACACAAGGGCACATTCCCTCATATGAGCGCCCAACCTAAAGGCTGAAGTGGTACAGCTCAGACACAGGTTTATCATCTCAGTGAGAACTTGGCCACAATTTTAGCCTTAATGTCAATTAATTAGTGTGATTGATGCAAACGAGTAACCCAGGCATTCTCCTCTGGTTGAGTGGTACAATTAATGCACGGCAGGGGAAGATGATTTTAAATAACAGAGTTGAAATTATTCTAAAGGCATTGCAATCAGATTTTTGTGTGTGGATAATAATGTGAATTTTATTATTTCTAATTTATTCTAGGGCTGCAGCAATGACTCTTAGGACAGTGTTGTTATCACTGCAAGCACTCTTGGCAGCTGCGGAACCTGATGACCCCCAGGATGCAGTAGTGGCAAATCAGGTATGATGCTTAGGAAAACTCTGGTTCTCTCTATTCATAATACTTTTCTCTCTTCAAAAGTACACTGACAGCTCCCAAATTTTGAGTTTTAATTAAATCTGTAGGACACAGGCTAGTGGAAATACTTACTACCTCTCTGAGAATTCAGAAAATGCAGAATTGGTGCAGTTCCTAAAATAGGGCCTATTATAGCATAAACCTTTGTGATATTATTATTATTATTATTATTATTATTATTATTATTATTATTAATAATACTTGGGAGTATGTGCAGTGTCACAACTCTCAGCAAAACAAACGTTTTGCCTACCTTGATAAATAAAAAGAAAATACTCTGTGCATGTCTGGTTTTATATTTTAAATTAACTGAGAATTGTTTTTGCTCACTTCCGGCATTGGGCCAGTTACCGGCTCTCAGCCTGGCTACAAAAGGGGACATGGTGCTTGTATCATAGGCATCAATTTTTGGTTCCTTCAACCAGAGTGAGGCCAGCTGGTTGTTATAGCTCTTCAATAGATGTGTACAAAAGTTTTCATGTTGTTCAAAGAGTTACTGAATCAAATTTACAGAATCAAAGCACACACATGGACACACACTAACTATATAAAAGTGGCTGGCAGGAATATTAAAGAAGCCTGTCACTGTTGCACCATTGGCAATCACCTTCATTGCTTTTAATTCTAACCAATTCTGCTCTGAATAAGAGTTTCTGTAAGCAATAAATTTATTGTAGAAATGCAGTTGCACTGTGTTCTCGCCTACCTGTGGGGCTTTGGAGTCTTAAAGGTGTATTTATTCATCAATTGCAATTATTCAGCAACAAAACATCACAGACATGTATATCCCAGATTGGATGCCAAAGTGAGCCAGACAGATCAGTTTGAATGCAAAAATTCTTGAGTTTGGACAATTGTATGACTTAATTTTTTTTTTTTCCTTTTTGTTATAGTACAAACAAAATCCAGAAATGTTTAAACAGACAGCTCGACTTTGGGCACACGTGTATGCTGGAGCACCAGTTTCTAGTCCAGAATACACCAAAAAGATAGAAAACCTTTGTGCTATGGGCTTTGATAGGGTGAGTATTGGTGACTCTTACGAAAGTGATAAACCACAGCATGTCTATCCTTCTGAACGCAGCAACAGAACTTCGGTTACAAGGCATGCCTTGTGTAAGATACTCTTTGCTTACTTGGGTAGAAGCTTCTCTTAGATTATCTTTGTATTATGCCTTGATTAACAGCTTTTTCGGACACGGGTGGCGCTGTGGGTTAAACCACAGAGCTTAGGGCTTGCCAATCAGAAGGTCGGCAGTTTGAATCCCCACGACGGGGTGAGTTCCTGTTGCTCAGTCCCTGCTCCTGCCTACCAGTTCGAAAGCACGTCAAAGTGCAAGTAGATAAATAGGTACTGCTCTGGCGGGAAGGTAAACGGCGTTTCCGTGCGCTGCTCTGGTTCGCCGGAAGCAGCTTAGTTGTGCTGGCCACATGACCTGGAAGCTGTACGCCGGCTCCCTTGGCCAATAAAGTGAGATGAGCGCCGCAACCCCAGAGTCGGCCACGACTGGACCTAATGGTCAGGGGTCCCTTTATCTTTACCTAACAGCTTTTTCACTACTTCTGAAGCTCAAGGAAATCCGTTTAACACCTGATTTTCTGTTAAGTAACTGACTTTAATTTAGCCATGGTCAAACTGACGTGTAAAGTTTCCTTCAGGCTCGTGCTACAATTGGGTTTATATAAAGAACAGGTGCACACACTGACGAGTTTTTTTTTTTTCTTTTTGTCTTTGCAGAATGCAGTAATAGTGGCCTTGTCATCAAAATCATGGGATGTAGAGACAGCAACAGAACTACTTCTGAGTAACTGAGCCATGTGCAGAGAACTGCTTCTGTAGCCCAGCTTGCCCTTTCTTGAGGAGCCTCACCATCTCTTATTTTTAGGTTTCTATATAGATTCTCTTTCAAAACTGGCATTCTTGCCTGATGCTATCTAGGCATTATTGGAGACTGAAAAAAAAGGAAAAAAAAACCTGCTCTGTAAATAAAGCTAATTAAACGTCTGTGTAAATTTAAAAAAAGGGGGAAATACTTTAATTTTTTCTTACTAAATATTGTAAATTCCTTGAGCTTGGCTAAAACAATGGGGGACAACATGCCTATTTTAGTCTTAGCAGTGTGACCCAAGACTAGAAGGAATTTGCATCAGGATTTTGACTTTTAAGAATTTATTCAGAACACATCTGATTGTGTCCATAATCATCAGTCATTGATGTCACTCATCCCAGCTACCTTACCTATGTTTTTTTAACATGGATCCTACGTGCCTGTGGACCTTATATTTGCATGCTTGTACTTTACATAGACACTTTTAAAGAAAAAAAAGTAGGGTAAACTGAACAGAGCACTGTTTGAAGTACTTGAGTATTCATTCTTGTAACTTTTTCCTAAGACTTTCCAAATGTGCTCATAGATCAAAATGACAGCCTACTCGGAAATGTTTTCACCTCTTAAGGAGTAGCAATCTTCCATTTCTTCTTTACCTCCCTCTCCCCTCCCCCCAACTGCACATGCAACTAAAATAACACACTAGAACCTCCAGAATTTGTGGGTATGTGCCATTTAAAGTAGCCTAGTTTCCCACTTCCAAGTGGTCTATTTTGAATAACCAGTAAAAGTGTTTCAACCATTGTAATTTCTACACAATTGTATAAAAGGTTTGGTATATCTATCTGGACATAGCACAAGCAAGTGGAGCTGCTTTTTTGTTTCTTATGCAGAAATCAAACCTCTTTCAATAAATTCTGGATAGAATGAATTTGCCGAGAAGAATTGGTTCTCTGTTAGCACTGAGAATGCCACCTCTTTTCTCTAGTATTTGCTGTGATGCAATCAGTTTGGGGGCAAAAGCTTCCTAGTTTTTACTTTGGACATTGTTTTAGGTAGGGGTTGCTTGTAAACCTCTAAAAGTCCCTCTTGTGCACATTTCCCCCAGTTGACACTTGAAAGCCTTGGATTGTTGTTTTTTTTTACTGTAAATATATTGAATGTGAGTAGAAGTACCTGCTAAAACAAATGTACATACAGTCATACTTTCTATTCATTCAGAGAGATCTAAAATCTCCAAATCATTAGTTTTTATACCTTTGTTGCGAGTTGTAATATCATTACAGAACTGCATCAGGAATTGCTTTTCAGCAAAATGCAGAGTTGCAGTGTCAACGTAGAATTCTGCAAGGTTATTTTCCCATTCCTGCCCCCAACTCTTCTGTACTGTAGATAGGAAAGTTTAAATTGGTCCATTTTTTAATTGAAGAAGCTGCATCACCACTTTTGCTAATCAGCCATGTTGCATAACTGTTAAGCATCTAATGTGAAGTAGAGAAATGGAAGAGATGAGAACCTAACTAATGCAGAATTATTTTCTGCAGTACGTATGTCTTAAGCTGCCTATAGATTCAAGTTACTAGGACACAGAAAAATAAACTGTAGTTTGTATCTGTGCAATGCAGAACACTGTTGATCTCTTCACAACCTATTTATGCATTCAGTGATTGTATGGTTTTTCTTGCAGTCCTGTAAATCACTTTCAGATGCCAAAGGAAATGTGATTTTTGTTTTTTCCTTGATATATATTTATTTTTTTTAACAAGTTGCTGCTGCTCAACAAAGTTTTTGTTAAATAGTAGCCAGGGCCAGCAGAACCCTGGCAATCTGCCATTTGTGTTTGTAATTTTTTTTTTTAATGGTCTATATTTTGACGAGTTCATCTACAGCTTTGTTTTACCCTGGTGGTAATTGTGTAAAAATGGCTGATAGATTACATTTTCCCTTGTTCTTTGCAAATTATTAAAGGAAAGATCGTGGAAGTGGTTAGATGGAATGAGATGTCTTCTGCTTTTCCATCTAGATCATATTAATCATTCTAAGGAAGCTTTCTGTGATTGTGTTAAATGAGTAGAAAAAGTTTGAACACAGGAGAAAAAGCTTACGCTAAACATAATAGCTAGGACTCTTCCCCTTGGCTATATGAAACTCTTGGTGTTGGTGGAAGGATTCATATAGGTGCTAGGTTTCCCCTTCATGGTTCTAGTGTAATGACAGTAGTTTTGTCACTGCACCCAAGAGGAAGTTTTCTCAAGAATTGAGCAAGAATCCTTAACTTACGTTGATGCTAGCTGGGACTCAGTTTCTAAAGGTATGTGTGCACGGCTTGGTAGGCCGTTGAGCTGAGTAAATGCACACTGCTACCCAGCTCAATCTTAATTTGCTGGTCTTTTAATTATTCAGCATATCATTTTTCACTTCTCATTACTCTAAAAATAATAGGCAGCCTTGCAGTTATTGTGAGCTGTGCCAGTTATGGTGGAAGAATTGCTGCACAGTTCACCTACGCCACACAATGGATGCTGATCATGCAATAACCTGTTTCTGGGAACTTTTAAGCAACCCGTAGATTTTTAACAAATCTAGAGGGTTGGAACTGGTTTATCTCTGTTGAGTACTGAGATTATAACCATTGACTGCTCTTCCTATGGAGGCAAGAGAGAAAGAGATGCCCTTCCCATTGCCAGGGGTCTCAACAAATCATTGTAAGTGCCAAAAACACTCCACACAACTAATTGGGTTTTTAAAAAGCCAAGTCCATGCTTTCGTTCCTATACTGAGCTGCTATTAGAAAGTGACAAAGTACAAAACAATTTGTACTCCTGGTGACATGTGCTGTAAAAAAAGGCGGCTAAGCAGCATTTTACCTCAAGCATTGGTTTTGGAACATTTTGACCAGTCAGGTACTTCTATAAATGTAATTAAATGATATTTTATGATATCTTTGGAGAGGAATATCCGAGGTCCAAGCCTCAGCAATCTGTCTAAAAGGAGAAACTGGTTGAAAGCAACTTTGTCTTCAAATAAACCAAATGGTTGCAAAGTGAGTAAACTATGCAAACTCAAACTTGTTCAACAGAAGAGTTAGACATTGTGGAATGTGCACCTTGCCTTCCCTGTTGTTTGCTTTCTTATATTTTACAACTTAAATGATGGCAATGACACTGGGCTTTTATTTTTTAAATGTTTTGATGGCTTTTGCAGTCATTGTTTGGATAAGAACCGTGCTCCCATCACGGACATTTTGATAGGCTCATAAATGGTTACCACTGTCAGATTTTGAGTTTTATTGGGTAACCAAATGCATGATGGCTGTCGATTGCCATAATCCACGGGAGTTTTTCTGAGTGGGTTGGCAGTCTGGGAAGCTTAGCAGAGTTAACTGCAAAAATCATGGTCGAAGGGAGAATGTCTCAATCAAAGACTTTTCTAAACAAGGCTTAGTTGCATGAATATAAGCATAGGAAAAACATTACAGTTGCAGAAGTAGCAGCCATCGTGACTAGAGCTGCGGTATTCACTCTGCTTTGACATGCAAGCACAGCTACATCCTTGTTAGACTAATGCTTCCAAAGTGATTTGGGGTTTTTCAATACATAACCCAACCTTCAGGTTTTTGGGTTTTTTAAGTGCCATACTTAACCGGCCTACTCTTCTACTTGGAGCTATTAAATGCCCCTACCTGCTTTTTTGTTTTTGTTTTACTGTAATAAACTCGTGACTCCATTCCCTAAAGGATGAAAGCTTGCAAGCTGTGTATTGTATGACAGTGCTTTCTGGTTAGTCCCTCTGCGATGGGAAGAATCTACTAGTTTGAAATAACCATTCAGAATCATGCCAACAAAACCCAACAGTACTATAGGAGCCCATTAATAAAATTTGCAATGTGGTGCTTTACATTGGTTTTTAGAGAGGGCCTCCCCTTTCAGAAAAGTGGTACTGTCAAAGATCCTTGCTGACCTGTTGCCGTTTTCCATTTCAATTTATGTTGTGGGGGTGGGAGGTTTTTTTGGTTTGGTTTTTCTTCCCAACCAAGATGACAAAGGCCATTTGTAGGAAGCTTTCAACTGGACATTTCATTGTGAGTGAGCGGGCTGCAATGCAACGTTGGTGTTTGCGTCTCTTGAGAATAAAAGCCACGCAACACTTTTGTATGCCATTTTTCTAAAAAAAAAATAATAAATACACTTTTAAAATGTTGATTTCCACTGCAAATGCTTAACAATAAATGCATGTTTCCCTGAAAATGCTTTCCATTTTACTTTGTGGTAATAAATCTCTCCAGAACAGGAGATGATGCACCACTATTTAAGTGTGATATAATGGTCTCATTACGTTACAAGAGTGATGACCCATAGACCAGCAAGTTGGATTTTATGGAGCAGACATAGGTATGTGTGCAAATCAACCAGTTGTGTTTATGCTTTGTTAAAATCTTTTTTAAATGAACGGGTGGTGTGTTGCTACTTGAGTGTTCCTTGCAGCATTAGTAAACTTGTTCTCACTACTTGTTGCCTTTGTGGCCAAAAACCTAGGAATTTTCTTACTGGGAATCTGCTCAGGGGAAGGCATATTGGATCTTGTGAGATTGGATCTTCTCCTAGCAGCCTAACTTGCATTTTTCTGCTGCAGGGGAGGCATTCTTCTCCCCAGCCCAAACAGCTAAGAGCAGGAACTTCCTCCCAAAAAAGGTACAAAACCTTCCATATTGTGGCCAGTATTCTGAGCCTTGGGTAACACACACAAAACCATTTCCTAATCCACAATAATAGAGCTTTCATATCCTGGCAGCCCTAAACTACCCCTTCTCCATTTGCCTACTGCTGAGGCAGATGTGCTGAAACACTTGGGGGTGGGGACAGAATATTCTCCTTAATCTTTAGGTTTATGTTAAAGTTGCTGTTGTAAATAAAAGGGGCATGCTGGATCCTTTGGGGCACTGAGAAACAATACTAGGTTGGCTTCTTGGGAGCAACTGAATCACAACTGATCGAACATTCTGATAGTTTTGCCAAGAGGCAACATCGGCTGAGGCAAAAAAGTTAAGTCTAGGATGCATACAACTCTCTGGTCGCTCACATGGCTGCCTGCAGGTATCTTTTTCAAATACAGTGGTGCCCCGTAAGACGAATGCCTCGCAAGACGAAAAACTCACTAGACGAAAGAGTTTTCCGTTTTTTGAGGTGCTTCGCAAGACGAATTTCCCTATGGGCTTGCTTCGCAAGACGAAACGTCTTGCGAGTTTGTTTCCTTTTTCTTAAAGCCGCTAAGCCGTTAATAGCCGCTAAGCCGCTAATAGCCGTGCTTCGCAAGATGAAAAAACCGCAAGACGAAGAGACTTGCGGAACGGATTAATTTCGTCTTGCGAGGCACCACTGTATCTCTCTCGCTCTTCCTCCCAAAGCAGCCCAGGGTAGCAAAAAGCCCCATCACGTACTGATGAGCTGTGCCTTCCTTGAATTACTTGGTACAAAGTTGAAAACGCAACAGCAGCGCACACATAGAGCCACCTTATCTCTTCGGTCTTTCCCCAAGGAAACCGCCTGAAATTTTGGAAGGATAAATGGAAAATTTTCTCCCACATCTAACTCATCTGTATGATAGCAGCAGCAGAAGAATGGAAGCACCAACAGCTATGCCGTGCGGAAAATCAATGTAACTTTTGCTGTAAGAGAGGAGACCAAGCATAAACAACTATCTCTTCAACTAAGATGGGTCTGAGTTAGAGGATCACGCTCCAAGCTTATAGATCTTCCTTGCAGAAACAGCTGTGTGTCGTCCCCGGCGCATTTTCAGAATGAACTTTCCGAAATGAATAATGCTCATAGTCGAGTCCTGGTAGAACACTCAGTACAGTGGTATCTTGGATTAAGAACTTAATTCGCTCTGGAGGTCCATTCTTAATCGAAAACTGTTCTTAACCTGAAGCACCACTTTAGCTAATGGGGCCTCCCACTGCTGCCGCGCCGCTGCTGCACGATTTCTGTTCTTATCCTGAAGCAAAGTTCTTAACCTGAGGTACTATTTCTGGGTTAGCGGAGTCTGTAACCTGAAGCGTCTGTAACCCGAGGTACCACTGTACATGTGAAAAGGTTCCAGAGGTCTTGGTGAACCACTAGCTTAACATGAGTCAATAGAGTGATGCAACAACAAAAGAAGGCTAATGCTATTCTAGGCTGCATCAACAGAAGTTGATAAGGGAAGTGATAGTCCTGCTCTTTTCTGCCCTGGTCAGATCCCACCTGGAGTCCTGTGTCCAACCCCTGCAATGCAGGACTCTCAACCAAAGCATCCATGACAGATGGCCATCCCCACAAAACCCTCAAACTGTTTTTCAAGGCAGACTCCAGACCCTTGCTGGAAGTGTCCTTAGGTCTCTCCTCTTCTGTACATAGGGAAAGCACCATGGAGCACACCTGGATGTGGTCCATGACATCTGGAAGAATGTAAAATTGGTTAATCAAATGGTGGTAGACTTAGATCTACACACACTGGACTGGTAGCATCCTGACAGATTAAGAAACGTTATAGTATATTTAGGTAGTTCTGAAGTTCTTTCCTCTGCATCTGCACTGGGGTATTAAGAAAGCTCAGATCAGGTTCGCCAAACCTGGTGCCCTCCAATGTTTTGGACTATAACTCCCATAATTCCTAACCGTTAGCTAGCAGGGGTTGATGGGAGTTAGACCCTAAAACTTCTGGAGGGCATGGGATTATAGAAGGCAGGTTTGGACTGATCACCCATGCTAAGCTCTTAAACTCAAAATTTAATATAGAACACTGTTTCAGTGACCTCTAGCATCTCCTAGATGCCCACCTGATGATGGTACAAACCCCTTCAAGTACAGTGGTACCTCGGATTAAGTACTTAATTCGTTCCGGAGCTCCGTTCTTAACCTGAAACTGTTCTTAACCTGAAGCATCACTTTAGCTAATGGGGCCTCCTGCTGCTGCCATGCCGCCGGAGCACGATTTCTGTTCTCATCCTGAAGCAAAGTTCTTAACCCGAGGTAATATTTCTGGGTTAGCGGAGTCTGTAACCTGAAGTGTATGTAACCCGAGGTACCACTGTACAGTACATGTCTTGCAAGAACACATTCACTAATGACTATCTTCATAGCCTCTGTCCCAAATTAAAACACTGGTGTAGAGATACTTGCTACGTTCCTCTGATCAGCGCTAAATATTAAAAGGTGACAAAATGCAAAATTCAGAGTTTCAAGAAATTGTATTCTAAGACCTTACAGTACAGGCCGATTTTGATTTAGCAGATCAAAAACCACAATTCCCCTCAACCAGACTTGGGAAATCTCCTTGGCTACATACCTTAGTAAATGTATTTTGCATTATACCATCTGCAAGTTCTCTCGTCTCCCTGGTATTTTAGGTTTCTTAGAGGTGTGTACAATACTGGAATGCTCTTTGCTTTCTGAACACTCCAGAATACACAAGTCATCTTGCTGTGAAAACTATGACCAAAGGTTCTGTTCACAATGCAAAATCTTTCTATTTCTTGCGGAGTGATGCTTGATTAGCTGTTTGTTGCCTATTTTGTTCTTTTGATCTATGAAATCCAGGGCATAAGTATTTTACACTACTATCTGGTCCACTGGAGAACACACACTTCCCCAAAGTGTCAAAATCTTATGTGTTGACATCAGTGCTTAGGCAGCAGGAAATTTATTGGTCCTACACAGATACAGAGATGCTATGCAGAACTGAGGCAAAGTAGAAAATAGACTTTTCTGTGGAGAAAAATGATACCATATGACACCTAGAAGCATTTATTTTATGCAACAAACTTAAATATGATCATGTGTACATTAAAAGTGTACACTGTATGCTGAACAATGCCAGGGGAAAAAATCAATATTGATGCAAGTCTTCTAAAATTAAACATTAAAAAATGAGCTTGGACAGGAAGACAAAAACGTAAAACAGACTTACTTTCAATCAGCACAATGCTTAAAATTGAGAGCAATCCTAAACATTTCCAACATTCCTTACAAAGCTGCCAAAAGTCCAACTATTTTTAAAAATTGATATTTTACATCAATAATAAAAATCTGGTGACAAACATTATAAAATCAAATGCTGGGCTGCCTTTACTCCATTAAATTTAGAATATTCCAACAGAACCACAGGAGTAAACCCACTTAAAAGTGATGTTTTTATAAAACAACCAACAATATGTACATTTATTGCAAATTATATTAAACTAAAATGGAGAGGGAAATTAAAAAAAGATGAAATGTCTACTTGCAAATCAATCAAGTGATTAGTCTCCCACTCAGATAAAAAGTCAGAAAGCAACATGTATAAAAATTGTCACTATGTGACTTTTCATAGCAGGAACCAAAATCTGTACATCTTATTTAGCTGGAAAGAATTATACATAGGAGTCTCCAAAAGGAAAGCAGATGAGAATTCAGGTATTTTCCTTGTGTCTTGGATTAAAATTCTTTCAGTAAGCTTCTATTTTTTCTTGCAAAAAGGGTGGGCAATACCTGATTCTAGCTCTGAATTTTTTAAAGGATCTCATTCTGACTTTCTTTTAAAAAATGCAGCATGAAAATTTATGGAGTAAAACACTTTTAACTCCAGATATGCAGAAACTGGAATCAAGTGTTAAGCAATTTGCTTAATTATTGACTTTTCATAAAAAAAGTCTCTGGGAAAATAAGTACAGATGCTTTGAGCCTCTCTCAAGAGTTTCAGCAGAATAATGTCATCTGAAAGGGAAGCAGATTTTCCTTCTGTTCTCAGAGCTGAAAGCGGTGTGATCTGAGTATTTTCAGTTCCTTATACAGGAAATTTCTTGGTTTTTGCAGAAGCTTGGAGCATGCCGTCATTTGGCCCTCCTTTTCCTCCCCTTGCAAGGAAGTTTTCTTTTTACCTTGAAGAGAAGAAGAAAGTTTAGAAAATGAAACTTACTGGGAAAACGTTCAAGAGCGAAGTGAACTTTCCCCTCTGAAGTGCACCTTTGATTTCTTTTTTTTAAATCAATTCTTAAATTCCTTAATTTTTTATTTTTATTAAATTTATATCCCATCTTTGTTGCATCTTGGAACCCAACATACATGGGTACATGGCATACAGTCATCTAGCCTACACACACTTACCTGAAAATAAGCACCACTGAACACATTACCTGAATATTTTTGTCTAGGATTGCATTGTCAATTGTGTTTGTATCAACATCATCTTTGATGTAGGTGATAAAGGTCTCGTCGAAATTCCACTGAGGACAATAATTTGCATTTATAGGAGGATGATAATCTTTTTATGAATTAATTTGGGGGGGGGAGACATTACTTTAAATTTAAAGCAACAACAGTTTATTCCACTGCAATAATGTAAAGAGCATCATAAAGATGCTCTAGCACAGTGTTTCCCAACCAGTGTTCCGCGGCACACTAGTGTGCCGCGAGACGTTGCCTGGTGTGCCGCGAGATGTTGCCTGGAGGGAGGCGGGCGAGTCGGGCGGCGAGAGGCGGGGCGGCGACGGCGAGGAGAGGCCGCCCAGCGCGGGGCTCTCGCCGTCTGCCTGCCTGGCTGCCTGCGTGGCGCTGACGTCACAGGGCTGTAACGTGCCCCACATAGGCACACGCGGGGCGGCGAGCGAGCTCCCTCCCACATCCCATCGCCGCTCGCTTCGGCCGGCCTACTGGGCTGTCGCAGGCGGAAGGCCTGCGCATGCACGAGGTTTTCGCGCCTTCGGGATTCCCTTCGCGCCTTCCTCCTCCCGGGTCCTTGAGAGCACGGGAAGCGGCAGCGCGAGACCGGCGTTGAGCCTGGTAGGTGTTGCGCTTGCCAAGGCAGTCATTTGGGAAATGAAAACTTGCAAAGCAAGCAACCAGTTCAATCTGAAGTACGTGTATGCTTAATATCCTGTATCTGAAACCTGTTCTGCCCCCTCCCCCACACTTGGTGCCATTTTCATCTACACATGCAGCAGAGTAAGTTGACCCAGAATAGTACCAATTCAGATGGCAGATGGGAGAATGACAGTGCTGAATGCTTTCCCATGTAGAACAGTCCCTGCAAATAAAAACCTAGCATATTTGGAAGAGGGATGCTAGCCTAACCATTACCTTCTATGCTGTTACTATTTTTTTATTTTTTTTTACATAAGTAAAAAGTGACCTTTCCCCATCTGGCATGGTGGTGTGCCTCGAGATTTTTTTCATGAAACAAGTGTGCCTTTGCCCAAAAAAGGTTGGGAAACACTGCTCTAGCATTTGTCTAGAAAAGCTCAGCAACTGAAACTCTTGTCGAAGGAAGGAAGGTGGGAAGAATGATAGGAATATAGCAGTTTCACGACCTCCCAGTTTATTGACTTTCGTTACCTAACTTCCACTAAATTTTTAACGTGCAGAAGTACTGTGTGATCTACATCCATGTCAGCGACATTTCTACAAGGACTGACCAGCACCACCTCCTCCCAGCACCCATAATTATACAAACATAGCCCTGTATAATCTCCCTGCTGCACCTTCAGGAAGCCATTCTCTGTTAGTTCTGTCTCCTCAGTGTCTTCCTGGCTGCCTGTATCCTCAGTGTCACAAAGCTTAAAAAGATCCATTTCACTTGGAGAATATCCAGGACTTGATTCTATCTCGAACACTGACTCTCCATCACTTCCCAGCACCTTGCTTCTGAAAAACGTTAGAATGGGAATATCATTTGGGAGTAAAAGCCTAGCTAAATTAAACTAGGAGTTGCACTTCTGTCCTTTGAGCTGAGACAAATGAGCTCTGCTTTTCGGAGCTTAAGTCAATTTTTGTTAGCATGAGATTTCTCTTAACCTTCTTTGAAAGGGCAAGCGGTCTACATAAGGAATAACAATGGACTTTACAGATGTGTATGAATGGTTTCTATACTGCTTTAGACAATTATCAGCTATACTGGAACAATATATACTATTAAATACAGGCAACACCTGATTTGCATGGGGGTTAAATTCCTGGCCCCCGAGCATGGGTTACTCCCCTTTTCTGGCCACTTCTGGGTTGTGGCGATGCACGTGTACACAATCATGCATGCATTGAACAAGCGTAAAATGGTTGTTGCCTGTATACTTCAGCTGGTTTTAACTATGCCAGAGATACGGATTTCCCCCTACCAGTATATACATCTAAAAGGATGTCTAATCAAATTCCTTACATAAAAGAATTATCCCCTCTGTTTTCGCTAAGATCTCAAAGAACTAATTTAGGCATGTCCAAGGACAGGCCTTCCCAATTTGTGACCCAACAAACTCAAGACAATCTAGTAGTCATGTACAACATTGACTGGCCATAAGTTGGTGGTGGGATCATAAGTTGGGCAGGCCTACCCAAGAGCCTGCATATATTTGGTACAATTTTTGAGCACCAGATCCGTATGCCATCTCACTGATTGCTTCTGAAACTCCTCCCAGTCTAAGAAATAGGCTGTGCAGCCAGCCATTATCTGTGGCCACCAACCCTGACCATGTCCCTTCCCAGGAATCTTCTAACATATGTAGAAGATGGGAGTGGGGAGAAGGTAGGATCAGGACTTGATACTACCTCCAGAGAGACAGCTGCAAGAGATTCAGGCTGCTCCTGACTATATGAGGAAGCTGGTCCCTCTCATTTGGATAGACATCCAGTAACTGCCTTTGTGAGCCATTGAAGGGGGCTGAAACAAGCCCCCATGGTTCGGGCAACAAAGTCATCGGACTGTTGTTCAGAAGGCTATGGATTCCTGGGCAGCCTTCTTTCATACTGATGCTGATGCTTTTGACCAGGGGAATGGTCAGTAGCCAATAGCAAACACCACCCTAGGAAGGCCATATATGAATTAAGTAGGTATCTCTACTCCTGCTAACTCACCAGGTCAACAGCTCGTTTTAAAAACAATTTTATAATTGACCGCGGGTTGAAGGACCAGTAAGACTGGTTAGGGGCACACAAATTCTGACTGGGCACCATGCTTGTGAACCATCTCGACCGGCCCAAGTCTTCCCGTGTGTGCAGAGACCTTGGGGATGCCACAGTTCTTATAACACCACATTGCCTTGTCATGATTCCTGATCCCAGTAAAAACTATCCCTAACACAAATCCTAGCCCCACACCACTTCTAGAAATCCCAATCCTACCCTGCTGTGCTGCCATTATCCCACAGCAACATGCACACACAGAGGGTAACAGGGAGGAGGTGAATAGACAAAATCCCTAGCTAGGGGATTTCTGAAACCATTTACACTGGCTTTCCCCACAGATTCTGATGTGAACCAAGCCACACGGAAAAGACTAACTCACGCTCCCAACTATGAACAACTTTCTCCCATCATGCACTTCAACTGCTTACTCTGACATGTCTATGCCTTGCCTTGTGCAAAGTAAACAACAGCCGAGATGCATAATACATAAGAAAAATCTACCAAAGCCAATTTTGCTGTTTACACATGGATGGGGATGTCAAGGATTATTTTTTACCTGCCTCTCAACTTGCGTTGAAGAAAGCCATCAAGTTGCATAACGGCAGGTGAGTACATAGGGGACTAGAGTGAACCTTTAGGGTGCCAGTTGCCCATTCTTTTTTTAAAAAAATGTGTTTTGATTTTTCTTATAAAGCATACAGGATAAAAATAACGATACCTAACATTAGGGAAAACAAACCAGCTGATTCCACCAATAAGGGAAATAATAGTTCGTCTGTAGTAATATTACAGAATGTCTCTGTTTGATTTGTACTATTCAGCCCAGAGTTCCTGACCACAGTTGGCCATGTGTATCCAGAGGACAAACAAGCAATACTATGTTGCCTATTCTTAACAAGTAGGGACAGGAGTAGCTCGTATGTTTGACTGTCTGGATCAGGGGTCAGCAAACTTTTTCAGCAGGGGGCCAGTCCACTGCCCCTCAGACCTTGTGGGGGGACAGACTATATTTGGGTGTGTGTGTGTGTGAATTCCTATGCCCCACAAATAACCCAGAGATGCATTTTAAATAAAAGCACACATTCTACTCATATAAAAACACCAGGCAGGCCCCACAAATAACCCAGAGATGCATTTTAAATAAAAGCACACATTCTACTCATATAAAAACACACTGATTCCCGGACTGTCCACAGGCTGGATGTAGGAGGCGATTGGGCTGGATCCGGCCCCTGGGCCTTAGTTTGCCTACCCATGGTCTGGATTTTGGCAAGATCAGATCTCCAAGAGCTGGCCACTCTGCCGACTTATCAGCAGCCACTGCTGCTCTGAATATTCCATGTCAGCTGGCTTTTTAAAATGGAGAGTCTTTTGCTAATTGGTCTTCCACACTCCTTGACCCTGATGTTCATCTGCATTTGCAGGGGGGGGGATCTTATGAGGGATGTCTTTTTAACCATGCACACATATCTCTGTGTTAAAGAAAACCTGTGTTATGCAAATGAATTAGCTGCATTTTTTGAAAACATGTATTGCTCAGCAATTGGATTTTGTGTGTGGTGGGGAAGGACTAAGGCTAAGTAAAGAGGAATTAAAGGGCACAAATAAACAAGAGACATGTGACGAGGGAGGAAAGAGTGCGGGGAGCAGTGTGCAGGAAAGTGCAAAAGAAGTTCCGTGGAGATGGTTAGGATTTACTGTGATGTCACTTGGCATTTCTGGCAAATTATAGCCAGTTCAGGACAACTTCCCAGAGAAAGAAAGCAGTGTATTTTGTGTTTACCTTTGTAGATCAATCTGTCTCTGTGCTGGTACTGCTTTTTTCGATGCATCTTGCTGTTTTGGTGCTTTGGCATTGCTTGCCTCTAAACTCCCTGGACCTTCCTGGCTGGGTGCTGCCCTTTTCCGCCCCCTACCAGATGGTTTACTTGTTTCAGCATTTTTTGCCATGGTGCCCTGAGATTCAGACTTGGGAGGACGCCCTCTCCTCGGCTTGGGAGGGGCAGGCTGGCCCGATTCATCTGTTTTTTTCTCTTCTGACTTTTGATGAATATTTTCTGCTCCGGCGGCTGTTGCAGTTCTTTTCTTTCCACGCTCAGTGCTAACATTTCCTTGCGTTGCCTGATCAGAGTTTATCTCCTAGAGGGGGAGAAATAAGGCTTAGTTTGTTGTCAACTGAATCCCTGACAGTCAGGTGGCAGTTATATCTGCTTCAAAACCCTGCAAGCATTTTAGAAAGAAGTTTCCAAGGGAAGCTACAGCAATAACCTTTCAAGTACCACAAAATAATCGGTCCAAGGGGACATACTGTTGCAATGGGGAATTCTCATTCCCAAAAATATAAAGCAGCATTTGGGAAACTCGTTATAGAAATACAACCAGCTTTGAAGTATTATTTCTCAATGTCGTGTCTACTGGCTTAGGTTTTCTAACTTAAATTAAGATCCAACTTAAAACATTATGGGCATGAAACAAACTATCAGATGATGGCATGACAAGTCCTTGCATAATATTATTTAATGTGCTTTAAAAGTTCTCTCTGTACCACACTCAAGAGCAGCTCAACTGGAGCCAAAACATAGTACAACAACATTAAAGCAGGATATTTGAATAAATAAGGAAAATCTTGCTATCAACTGCTAAGCTGACTTCTTCCGCCTTGTTGGGAAACTGTTGACGTTCTCAATCTGGGATGTGTTTTCATGGAATGGCAAATAAAATGCAACAGTTATATTAAAATGTTAGTCACCAATTTCTGGATACATTTTTTAGTCGGATTACCTAAAAGTAGAACATGCTTAAAAAAATTCAACCATACCTTGTTCTTTACAGGTTCTATTTTTGCTGGGGTGACAGAAATAATTCTCACTGGATTTTCATCATTTTCACTGACACCAGTTTCTGATATGTCTGAGCTCTGCTCTCTGTTGGAAGAATTTTAAAAATCAATGTAAATTTGTTTTCTGTTAAATTATGGAAGGGAAAGAAATCTATTTCCCTTCTTTAAGCCTAATTGGTAAAAGAACTGATCAAGATTCCTTGTAAACTGGTTAATGCTAATGCAAAGGTTTTAATATGCCCCTGCCTGTGTGCTGGATTGTGATCCTGCCAGTGGCGTAGCGTGGGGGGTGCAGGGGGGCCGCCCGCACCGGGCACAACATCTGGGGGGGGCGCTCGCCGCCTCCGGAGTCGCCGAAGAGCCTCGGGCGCAGGCTGTAGCAGAGCCCCATGTCTCGCGGAACTGACGAGCTGGCAGCGGCTCTCAGCGCTCCCTGCGGTCCCCACGCGTCAGGGCCCCTCCTCACAGCCCCGCCACCGCCGCTGCAGCTGCTGGGCCATGTTGCATTTTCCTCGCCTCTCTGCCCTCCTCCTCCGGGCAAGCGGCGTCGTTTGGGCGGCAGTGCCAGCGGCAACTCGCCTCAGATCACCTGACACGGACCCGCCGCCGCCGCCGTGGCTACCTTACCGTAAATACCCCAGCCCAGGCAGCAGCAAGAAGAAGCTGGCAGCGGCGGCAGGTTAGGGGGCGCAAATTACTTGCCTTGCCCCGGGTGCTGACAACCCAGGCTACGCTGCTGGATCCTGCATTAACTTTTTAAATTCATTATCTTCTTAACTACAGCAATCCCCAGGGTTGAAAGGGGAAGATGTTATTTAAAAAACCATGCATTTAAAATAAATTCTACCCTGAAATACTTAATTTCAATGTTAATCCTAATATTTAAAAATCCACGTGAACATAGATATGCACTCAATCAGTTCTGTTGTTTGATATTTAGTTTTTACACAGTAATAACTGCTGATATATACTATTATTGTACTGTGTATTTTGGGTCTATGGACCACAATAAAGCTGTGTGTGTGAGTAAAAGAGTTAACAATTTGAGGAAAATGTGCAACTAGCAATGTGAACTTCATCCAAACCTCATTAGATATAATACTGCAACTACATAAAACATTCTAACAGGTAATACAATTGAAAGCAGATGGTGAGACCAAATATATAAATGTTCATTTCAAAATTCAAAATGGAGGTGAAGAAGTGATTGGCAGACTTAGTTCATTAAAGGACTTGGAATTCTAAGAATTTGATATTCCTTTATGACACGGAAAAGTTTGCAAACTCTGAATTTTAGAAAAATAAAATACATAAACTGAAAAATAGCAATTTTCCACATAATTAAGAGAAGTAAAGTACAATCCTATATTGAGAGAATCTTTTAACATAATATGTTTTTAAAATCTGAATTATATTGCTGAAAAGTCTTAGACCTTGATTTGTTTCCTGCAGGAGAGCTCAGTTCAGAGTTTACGCTATTATTGCTTCCAGTTTCTGATCCTGCGCTTCGGATATATGGTCTCCTTCCAGTTGCAGATAAAGGTTTATTTACAGCACCTAATACACCAGTTGGTTTGGGCTAAAATGAACAAGAGCAGGCTTATTTAATAAGTTTGAAATACATGCAAACACACAATTCACAATGTATATTTTTTAATTTTAATTTAATTTTTTTAAAAAACTCTACAATATATAAAATGGCCCCTTGCATTTTGGTCTATAAGACATATTAATTGGATATCATTAAATAGCTGCAGCTACAACTAGCTCAGTGAAAATTCCTGAACTTTCTCCTACTTATAAATGTGATATAGCTCCAAGGTTATAGTGAAAGGCTTCATTTCCCCCACAACCTCAAGTTCACCACATGCCTAAATTATTGAGGTACAAATTGTCTCAGCATTGTTTCTCCTTACACTGAGTTAAAATGTACTCAGAGATTCAGCAGAAAGCATACATTTTTAAACCCTGTAGAATGAGAATCCCAAAGTCACAACCCATAATCAATACAAAATCCTTACACCCTTTACATAAAAATAAAAGTTCTTGTTTTATCTTTGTGAAGCTGACCCACAACCGACAAATTAGCTCTGAAATCAAAGGGGCTAAGGCGCATTAGGTGAACCTGTAAGTAATTTAACAGTGTTGTCCTCTGCACTCTGAAAAAGTCCTACAGAATTCAATGGGATTTAGACTCAAATAAATAGAGCCTAAATGGGTTGCACTGAGTTAGTGATGTATACAATTTTATCATTTCTCAGAAACTGAAAGGGTTCATTGTTTATACAACGTGTCAAATAAAAAAAAGTAGAAACAACACCTTTCCGGTTAAGAGAAGAACTCTCATCTCTTCTGAAATATAATTCCTTTCATTGCAAAAATCCTTTG